AGGAAGACTGTATTATCTCGATCGAAATCAGGGTATCCTTACTGCCATGGACATCATGTTGCAAAAATTCCCGGAGATGGGCGTCCACCGTTATTGTCTAGAGCATGTTAAAGCAAACTTGGTTGGGCATTTTCGAAAGGAGAAACTGCGAGGCAACTGTCAAATGATTGGTTCAGCGACGCAAAAGACAAGGTTCTTGGCAGAGTGGCAAAAATTAGAAGAAAAAAATGAGCCTGCTGCTCGTTGGCTTCAGAAGCTGGGTGTTGAGAAATGGACATGTTTACACGATGGAGGGCATCGTTGGGGAGAAATGACCACTAACATCTCAGAGAGTTTCAATAATGTGCTGAAAGGTGCTAGATTCTTCCCGATCACAGCATTGATCCTAGCATCCTTTCAGAAAAGCAACAATCTGTTTCAGGCAAACATTGATATGATCCAAAAATGTCACACTGTTCTACCTCCTACTCCAATGAAACTGTATGAAGAGGCCCGGAAGAAATCATTGAGGCAAAAGGTCAACCGGTTTAGCAAGAGAAACCAGAATTACGAAGTGGTTACAATAGCACCTGATAATCAACCATGGAAGGCTAACGAGAAGCAAGTTGTGCTGTATGCAAATCGAGAGTGCACTTGCGGAAGGTGGCAGACTTTCAGATTTCCTTGTTCCCATGCACTTCGAGTTGCCCGTGAGCTAGGTGACGATCCCTTCCCACTTTTTGATCCATGTTACACTACGCATCAATGGTACCAACAGTTTTCTGGAGAATTCAACCCAATCATGGAACCATGGCCAAAGGCAACGTGGCGAGATCGTGCCGATGACACTAAACTTGTCCACCATGCTGGCCGAGGTCGGAAGCGTGTGAATCGGAAAAAGGTGTGATGGATTATACAAGCAAATCGGCCAGCGAAGACTCCAAACTTGCGTTTATGTAAGCTACAAGGCCATAATGCCGTGGCTTGCCCATATGCGAGAGTTTGCGCACGATGTGGAAGTTTAGATCATGATGCTGTAGAATGCCCTTTTTCTCATCCACCTGCTGACAGGACCGGTATTGATAAACTGTATGATCCATATGGAATTCATGGTGTGCCTAATATCAATTCTGATGATGATGATGATGAAGCGTAGTGATTATTCTGTTAGTGTTCGTATTTTTGTGTTGTTTTGAACATTCATGTAGTAAACCTTAGAGGATGAATCAGTTTGCGTCTGTATTTGTTTTAGTGTGTTGGTTTGGATGTTTCTGTAATTTATATTAGTAATATTTTTGTAAAACCGAAACGTCGCAGTTCATTTTAGTAATATTACTAATTATTACTATAGGATATATACATGTCGAATAAAGCACTAATTATTTGATAAACACTAAAGGTAAGAAAATTAGTTATTTGTTTATTCATCACCGAAATTAATATAACCATATATCCGGCTTAAAGACTAAACGTTTTTAACTAAAATTTTAAATTGATCGCGTTTGTGAAACGCGATAAAAGGGAGAGTATTATCTTCGCGTTTCTGAAACGCGAAAAAAGGGGGAGTATTATTCTCGCGTTTCTGAAACGCGAAAATAGGGAGGGCATTATTTCCGCGTTTCTGAAACGCGATTTTGTTTAAAGATAGGTTGTTTCGTGTTTTAGAAACGCGAAAATGGGTGCTTAAATAAAGTTTTCCCGTTTCGGGTTGATGTTTCTCAAACAGAACCATATAGCCGGCGTACTCCATTGAAACCGGCGATTTTTCCGGGAGGGTTGCCGGAATTGTTTCGGCATCAATTTTTTGCATTTTGTAGGCTATATATCGAGGTAAGTTGTGTTTTTTGCTCTGATTCAATCGTTTTTTTTTTAATTCATGTTTTAATTTTCGATTCCTATAAATTTTGTGTTCGTTTTATTTGTAATTTTATTTCCCGATTTAATGAACCGTTAATAGATCTAGTATTATAGGTGTTGTAATTGTGGAATTTTTTTAAAAATTCGGGATTGGGTTGGGTGAAAAAAATTCCGGGGGAATGAATGGGAGGGGGGGCGGCGGCGGAATGAAGGGGAGGGTGGGGGGCGGCGGGGGAATGAAGGGGAGGGTGGGGGCGGCAGCGGAATGAAGGGGAGGGTGGGGGCGGCGGCGGAATGAAGGGGAGGGTGGGGCGGGGAATGCGGGGAGGGTGGGGGCGGTGGGGAATGAAGGGGAGGGGGGGGGGCGGCGGCGGAATGAAGGGGAGGGGGTAGAGGGGGGGGTAGGTTTAGGGTTTAGGGTTGGGCTTACGGTTTGTGGGGTGTTGGGCTTAGGGGGTTTAGGGTTTGGGGGATTGGGTTGGGTTTAGAATGTGGGTTTAGGGTTTGGAGGATTGGGTTGGGTTTAAAATGTGGGTTTTTGGGTTGGGGATTGGGTTGGGTTTAGAATATGAGTTTTGGGTTGGGTTTAGAATGTGGGTTTTGGGTTGGGGATTGGGTTGGGTTTAGAATATGGGTTTTGGATAATAAAATGTAGGGTTGGAATTTTTAATGTATAGGATAATTAGATTAGAATAATAATATTAATCTGTATTTACTAAAATGTAGGGTTAAAATTTTTAATAAAAGAATAATTAGATTAGAATAATAATATTAATCCGTATTTACTAAAATGTAGAGTTAGAATTTTTAATGTATAGGATAATTAGATTAGAATAATAATATTAATCCGTATTTACTAAAATGTAGGGTTAAAATTTTTAATAAAAGAATAATTAGATTAGAATAATAATATTAATCCGTATTTACTAAAATGTAGGGTTGGAATTTTTAATGTATAGGATAATTAGATTAGAATAATAATATTAATCCGTATTTACTAAAATGTAGGGATAAAATTTTTAATAAAAGAATAATTAGATTAGAATAATAATATTAATCCGTATTTACTAAAATGTAGAGTTAGAATTTTTAATGTATAGGATAATTAGATTAGAATAATAATATTAATTCGTATTTACTAAAATGTAGAGTTAAAATTTTTAATAAAAGAATAATTAGATTAGAATAATAATATTAATCCGTATTTACTAAAATGTAGGGTTGGAATTTTTAATGTATAGGATAATTAGATTAGAATAATAATATTAATCCGTATTTACTAAACTGTAGGGTTGGAATTTTTAATGTATAGGATAATAAAAAAGAATAATAATATTAATCTGTACTTACTAAAACTATTTGTAAATTGTACTAACCATGGACATTGGATCATCTTCTTCCTCCCAATCTACTTCAAAGAAGCTACGGCAGGGACCCAGAGACAGTAGTTTGTTGTTTCTCCAAAACGCCCATAGGTCACACAATATATTCCATGGTGCACAGTATGATATAGGAATTTCGGAGCCCAGGCGCGTAGATAGCGCCGCGTGGAAATTAATAAAAGATGCACCGAGGTTGACAAAGGAATATATTGAGAAATTTGGTTTTGGACCGTTCTCTAGAGTTGGGTCCATAGATGTGACCATGCCACCTTCGGCTCTTGTGGAGCGATGGCGCCCAGAGACCCATACATTTCATTTACCTTTTGGGAGGCTACTATCACACTCCGGGACGTCGAGGTTCTTTTGGGTCTTCGGGTTGATGGACGTCCGATTCTGGACATCACACCACGCCTGATTGTGGTTGGGCAGCCTATTTGGAGAGGATGTTTGGATTTAGGTTCCAGACAGAGGAGTCTAGATTGACGAGTGTTTCCATCACTGAAATAAAGACTCACATAGAGAATAATCCTTTGACGGACCTGTCCCCTGACGATGCACACCTACAGCGAGCCCGTTGTTTTGTTGGATGGCTCGTTGGCGGATTACTGTTCTCAAACACTACGAGAAACAGTTTTCCTCTCGATCTTGTGCATTTTCTTCATACTCCCGAGATTTGCTCGGAGTATAGTTGGGGTAGTGCGGCACTATGTTACTTGTACCCAGCATGTCCAAGTCATCTCTGGCCGCTTCTGCCAAGGCTATTACCGGCTGTGTGATTCTTCTTCAGGTATTTTATCTTTTCATTTCTCTCTAGTTTGATTTTATATTCTCCCATTACTATTAGTGATTTTAGCTAATGATTTCTTCATTCTGAATTAGCTCTGGGCCTGGGAGCGGATTTTGACGGTTCAGCCCAAGATACTGGGTGGGGACCTCGATCTATCTGATTGTCCATTGGGCACGAGGTAATCTTATACATCAAACCTTCGTAAATTTTGACATTTTGATTTGTACTGTCATGTCTCAATTTAATGTTACTTTCTCCATGCAGGTGGTCCCGCGAGAAAAAAGTTCAAGGTATCACGCGGTTCAATTTGGCCGCGTACCGGGATCAGCTTGCAGTTCTCGTCGAGTTTGATGTTAGTATTCTATTCAATTAGTATAACTTATGTTTTATTCATTTTTTTTAACGGTGTCGAACTTTTAATTACACGTCTCTTACTTAATTACCATTGCAGTTTGTATGGATGCCGTACACGACTCTTTTGGGTCGTATTGCCAGGGTTTGTCTTGTGGGACAGGGCATATGGCGATCTCAGACATGGCTCATCTGCGGTGATGTCGTTGCGCCACACAACCCAAGTAGGGTATTTCGCCAATTTGGTTATCACCAGCGGATACCCGGCGACGCATTACTTCTCACTGCGGCGGAAATTACTAGTCTGCTCAAGAGGAAGCCGTTTGGAGGATCCGATAGGAGATGTTTACAACAACTAGGGATATATCTCCAGGTTTGGAATGATCGCCACGGCCAAGTTGTGGAGACTGATGATGATTATGTTGGCGAGCCTTCCGCAGATCCGGAGTATCTCTTGTGGTACCATCAGGTTACTGTGAAGTATGTTACGGATCCGACGGACTCTGAAAATGCGAGGGGTTTTCACGGTTCTGCAGAGACCTTGCGCCTCATGGTGAGTATTTCGCCTACAGTCCATTTGGTTCTTTTTATTAACACTGTTGTCGATTTATGATTCTTTCTAATAAAAATTTCAGGCCACATTGATGGAGGACGTTCGTAGTCTTAGTATTATAGACCAGCGTACTTTCGATGCGGACTCCTTTGGTTATGATCGCTTAGGCGAGATTGCCCAGGTTGCTGAGCGGGCGTTGTCCGTCAATGCAACAAATGTTGTACGTCACGATCTCGATAGGCATGTTGAGGTTCATGACATTTTGAGTCAAGAACTTGCACCTGTAGACCCGACCCAGCAACATCCACCACCCAGACCTCCGAGGCGTTCGCGCAGGTCCTAGCGTGGGTGTGGGGGACAAGAGACAATCACATCATCTCAGCCACATCAGTCCTCCCAGCATGAGCAGTCTCATATTCCCTTCACTGGCGGTTCATCCCATCAGTCTCCACATCAGTCTCCACTCCATTCTCGACAGCATTCAGCCCATCGGTCTCCACATCATTCATCCCATCAGTCTCCACATCATTCTTCGCCGACCCAACAGCGTTTTACCGTCCGATTATGTCTCCCAGCACCACGAGTCAATTTTCCTTCACTCGGTTTTCCTCCCCTCGGACTTCTCGGCGTCGGTTTGGAGATTCTTTTATTGACTTTTAGGGTTTCAGCGAGTTTGCTAGATGGCCGTCGATACATTACACGAGTAACTTTCTTTCGAGTATGTTCGAGGTGTTCTTGGTCGCATCAGTGATAACCCAGCTGAGGGTGAGCGTGAGAGTCAGGGTGAGGATGAGGCTGAGGATGAGGCTGAGGATGAGGATGAGGCTGAGGATGCAGACCAGGATGATCAGTTTGAGGGTCAGGGTTATCAGCGCCATGAGGAGCAGGGATCGAGTCAGACTCTAGGGACTCCACCGTTGGCTGTGAGTAAAGGCCAGAGAGTGACGAAGGAGCCCGATAGATTGACTTATAGCCTTTTTCGGGCTAAAAAGCCCAAGAAGAAGTAGGGTACTAGACTTCTTATGTAGTATTATTAGACTTGTATTTTTTTTTCCCCTTTTGTTCATTTCTGTTTTTTTTCCTTCTGTTATGACTTGCTTTATTTTTTTTTACCTTTTGCTATGACTTGTAGTATTTTGTTATGACTTGTATTAATATTCTTAATAGTTTGATTTCACCTGCATCGTAAATACAATAATTAATATTTATAAAACACATCTTCGCCGATCAAATCGAAACACATATTTAAACTTTCTTATATTTTTTTTCATAATTAATAGTTTCTTCATCTTAAGTGTTGGTAAATTATAATAAATATTTAATAAAATTTATTCCTATTTTAAGCTTTTTTCTTATATTAAAACCATCATAATTAATAAAAATAATTTGTAAATTAAATTACATCTCATTAAATCCATAAAATTACGTCATTATCATTATTGAAAATTTTTCATATAAAATTATTTTTTAAAATAATGATTACATTTTTAATAAAATTTTTAATATAATCATTATTAAATTTTTTTATATAATGTTCTAAAAAATTAATACATTATAATAACTATATCATACTTTTAATAATTTATATTTAGTATAGCTCTATTTAATTTAATGAGTATCAATTATAATATTATATTCTAATTCAAAATTTAATTTTCGTATTATTAAAATTATCAATATAATTTTCCTCTTTATAGCTCTATTCAAAATTTAATGATTAACAGTTATAATTTTAAAATTTTCTGTTACCATTATTCAAATTTAATAATTTTTTGAAGTCAATTTCCCTATAACGTTTTAAACTAGTCAAATTAATCATATTTTTATGCCTATTTTCTTTTTTATTAAATAAAATATTTTTTTCATTGGTTTCGCGTTTTCAAAACGCGAAATCTTATTGATTCAAGTTAATTAATTAGGATTATGTTAGATTAATTACGTCTCCTTCTTTTTTCGCGTTTCTGAAACGCGAAAAACATATATTCGCGTTTTCAAAACGCGAATTTGTGTTTTTAGCGTTTTCAAAACGCGGATTTTGATTTTTTTCGCGTTTCTGAAGCGCGAGAAAGCTATTTTTGGCCACAATTTAAACCCTAAGCATCTTTTGTTCTTCATTTTTTTTTTCAGTTACTAATAAGTAAATTTTCTCCAAAATCTCCAGTGAACCGTCCCCTTTTGTCATCACATCCCCTTCTCCGGCCACCTTCTGCACTATCTTACCCCTGATCTTCCCCTTTGCCATGGCGGCATACGTTAAGATAACATACGCTGAGGGAGAAAAGACGAGGAGAGAGAAAAAAATTGGTCAATAAAATTAGAACGTCTTCTTTTGAGAGAGACTCTCTCGGACATCTCTCTTTTTCTCTTGGCCATAGGCCAAACACAATCAATTCAACCTTCTCAACGACCCTCCTTTGCACAAATTCTAGTATGTAATTCAAATCCAAAAACCATACACAACCACTCATCAAAAAATCAAACCCCAAGCCCAACAGTAATTCATTCAGAGCCAACATTATTCAAAGTTGAGCCAACCTTTCTTCTAACAAAAGAAGATGAGCAATTGGCGGCCCCCTTTTTGCCCTTATAGGAAAATTCACCAAAGGCCGGCCAAAAATGGACTATTTGCGGAGAGAATTCCGAGCAATTGGATTCAAATATTGATTATAAGTCTCCCTCTCCTGCTGTTGCATTCCTTCATTACAAGGGTTGTCATGAAGTAATCCCTGAATCTGTCCTCATATGATCAATCACGAACATGTCCTCATATGTTTCGACCTTGAGTAAGTTTATGATTATCATCGCTGCTGGTTAAAAGGTTTATGGACATTTGACAAGCACCGAATGCGAGTTCCCAAGTGAACCACGGATTTCAATCGCAAGGAAAGGAGAAACAAGCGCAGGCTTTGGACAAGACAACCCATGAGCCTGTAATGGGGTTGAAACCCTCAGTGACCCAACCAGCGGAACCTCGCACTGCTGATGTAGCACTGCTGCTGGATGACGCTGCCGATGCTGCTGTTGTGGTGTTGCCTCATCAGCCACCCATGGTCGCAGCCGCTGCTACTCCAACAAACTTGAGAGACAAAATTTCTGTCCATTCTTCATCGTTAATTGTTGTTGTTGCGGGTTCTGAAATCACGCCGCAAAGAGATATGGTGGCGCAATTAAAGGATGCCGCTGTTGTTGACGAGAGAATTTCTGATGCTGCTGTGGTCGCTGTTGTTGATCAGAGCGCCCCCAATGCTCCATAAGACCATCTTCCCGAACCCCCTTGCCAAGCCCTCGCAACTCCTAATCGGTGGGTTGCCGCCTCAGTTGCTGGTGAAACCACTGAAAATTGCCAAACTAAATATGCTCCTCCTTCAACTTTGATATCTGAGCAAGCAGTAGCTACCAACGATGGGAATCCAGCATCACCGGAAGGATGTCAGCGGCCAAAATCGGCGGAGGAACGGCGGAGGCCACAGATGGAAATCCCACTGTTGACGCGGTCTACTGCGCAACTGACTCCCGAGTTTTTTGCGTCAACTGAGCAGTCAAAAAAGTCTCATCCGGATCTCCCAAATTCATGTTTGGATAAGTAAAAATCAAATTTCCTATCACAACAATCTTCACCCTTAAATGTGGAAGGAATATCTTCCTCAAATAACTCTTTTACCAGCCCCGTTAAAAAGTTAAATCCTGAAGCTGCGCCTTTCTCAACCCAGCCACATTTTCCTTCTATTCAAATTTTACTCCCTATACCAGGCCCAGAAGAATATTTATCTAAAGATGATACTGACATAGGGACGAATACCGAGTCTTTAAATACAAGCTTCTCCATTTAACACATAAATTCCGAAGGTGATCAAAATCAAGTTTTTTTATGGATCAGACGATGAGGAATTTGATATGAAACGATAAATGGAACGAGAGTCTTTCTATAGTGAAGTTTCTACTATGCCACAACATCATCACAAGAAGAAAAGGAGAGCCAAGTCTAAAGTACGAGTTAGGCATTCCGCTAGATTAAATAACGATGCTAAATTTCCATAAGGTAATTATTGTATTACTATAGGGTTAAGTATATTCGATATCCTATTCTTCCACATTTTAATATATTTTTATTTTAGTTAAAAAAAAAAGAACTATGTACGAACTTTTCGCATGCAGAGTTGTTTTAATACTTGATTGATTCGGAAGTAAAAACAATTGCACATTATGTAATTTAGTGACCGTTCTTTCTTTTTCATAGAAATTCTTTAAATAAATAATTTATTAATTTATCAATAATTTAATAATTTGTTAAATTAATAAAATTTGGTCGTCCCAACCCTAATAATTTATAGTAGTTCTACTGTATATTAATTCATCTACTTTACTAATGTTTTTTGGCGTATTGTAGAATGTCCACCGTCAGTAATAGTGATTACTGTTATTCTTTTTCAATTACTTCGGAACCGCATTTTTTACTTTTGTTCTAAGATTATTCCACCTAAAATTTGCGAATATGAGAATGTTATGTGAAAGTTTAACCATTCGTGAAAGCGTAATCAAGAAAATGAAACATTATTATAAAATCAAGAGATACAATCATTAAATACACCAACATGAGGGGAAAAAATGGGTACTTGATGAGTACAAAATAGCCCCCTTTTACTCGCAAGGTTATGAGCTGCAATTGTTGTAGCGGTAGGGGGTGTCGATCTCACAAGAACATGCAAATTAAATATGTGTTCCTACTGATATCTTTCTTAGTTCAAGTAACCAAAGCAATAGAAGTGATTTTTAGAAAATAAAATGCAAACAATGGAATGTTTAAGTGAAAAGAATTTTTCAGTTATGGAGGAGATAGGGTTCAATATCAATTTCCAATCCAATTGCCGATTAGCTATTAAACCTATGGTGACAGAATATTAGTTGGTTCACATTATTGTCTCAAAGCTTCTTCCAAAGTCACAGAGACATCTCCCTAGTTACGGACCACCTACATTCCTGTGGTAGAACTCAACCATGAAGTCATTACACTCAAGAAATTATAAGACCAACCATGCCATCGCGGTATATTCCTATCCGACATAAAACCTTAAAATTTTACGTACAATTCATGGCCCAAGTTGAAAACCTAACCCACATAGCCTATTCCTAGATCTATGAAGATTTCATGCACCAACAAGTGTGTGATCAAGATATTTGCTGGGAATCAAGAAGAACAAAGTTTAACAACAAATCAAACAATCTTTGTGTACTTTAAAATTGAACTCCGAAGGGTGTTTAGCTACTCATAGATGAATAAAAAACTAAAACATAGAGAAAAAAACAAGTTCATGTCCGCAAAGTTGAGAGAAAGAAAACTCTATGAGAGTGATTCGTCGACAACTTTGATCTTGCTTCTGATTGTGTTGTTGAAGTGATCACCAACCTTTCTTTTGTTGTGTCTCTCTCTATGGAACCCTAGTAGCCCCCTCCAAGTTTTGATATACATTTTTGGGGAGTACATAGGGTTTTAATTGTGAAATTCCGCGACTCTATGCCTTGGTAAAAAGTTGCATAAAACTAGGGTTGCGTCACTCCATAGAATGACGTGTATCACTCTGCAGAGTGGATAGGTAAATTCACGTCTCGCTCCGTGGAGTACCCCCGTCGCTTTGTAGAGTGGTGCAGAAAGAAACATCATAGCTCTCGGTTGCTTTTCTCCTTTGAATCACTCTGTGGAGTGGCTCTCTTCACTCTGCGGAGTGCTTGGTGATTGCACCAACTTTTCTTCAAGTGTATAATTTATCCTTTTTGCCACCTTTCAAACACATTTTGCTTATATTATTTTTGCAAAAGAGATAACAAATAAATCATATCAGGTAGTAGACAGTTTATCTGAAACTATACACTTTAAATCAAACTCAACACTGTTAATGGGGTGATTTATATGTAAATTACGTTCTTATCAACTCTCCCAAACTTAAAGTCTTTCTTGCCATCAAGGAAATGACCTTAATCACACATCAACAAGCAAACTTAAGTGAACATATGACTATCAGCAATTTGTCTCATGATTATGCCTTCCCACATATATGCATATAGTATACCGGTTACACCATCATTCAGTTTCAACTCTACCCGCGCCATCTTAGTTGTCACTGTGTGTGTGTGACATGCCAATCATAAAAGACCACAAGTCGGCAAAGAGAAACAACTAAACATTTGTGTTTTCATTACTTTCATTATTTAGCAAATGATTCACCTTTTATACTACAATAAGCAAATGTAATCAAAACAACTTAGAGGACATAAGGACTTAAACTCACAGAAGTTATATAATTTCAACCTTTCGCCCTTGTATCCATTTCTTCAGCCCATGTGGGTCTTTTTCAGGATCTTTCCTACTCAGGCCCTTACCGAGAGACGGCAATCTACATTTTTTTTTCTTCTCACCGGCCTGAGGACTCTTCGCTCTTAGTTGCCAAACATAACCTCTTAGGGGTTCCACTGCCACATTGGGCAGGCTACCAGACTTCCCTCAAATTAGAGTTTTAACATCCTAGCCTCAGTTTAATCCGCCAACAACCCCTTTTTCCCAAAGGTTTAATGTTACTTCAAACCACTACCCTCTTGATTCGAGTCTAAGGTAGCGCGTAGGGCTGCCTTAGTCCTCTTTTCAACATATAAACAAACCACAGTTCGCCTATTATCGTAATCAGATGAATCAACTTAGCCATTTTCACACAAGTATTAGTTATAGCATTAAGTTCAAGTCATTACACTTCACCTAAAATGATCTTATATAAAAGGCATACAAGTGCTCAGAAGGTGTTAAGAAAACTAAAAAGAACTAAGTTAAATCAAAACATCAATAGGGTTTGTTTAAATTCATAAACATCATCATCATTGACTACAGACAACCATATTTTTTTCTCTTCCAGTTTTCTGATTTTTTGTTTTTTTGTTTTAGATTACAAAGTTAAACATGAAACTACAACTAAACCTAGTACCAACAAAGTATAACAAAAGAAATAAAACACATTGGCACTTTCATAAAGTCTCAAGACACCCCCCATACTTGAAAGAAAGCATAGTCCACAATGCTTAAAATAAATAGAAGGAAGGGGGCTTCCATGCAGTGATGAGCTAGGGTGGCCGTGGTGTGGATGTTAAAGCATCTCCTCTTCTCGACTAGGAACTTTAGAGGCAGCAACTCAACTACTTGTCATGCTCTATGCAAAAGTTTTACCCTTCATGATCCACTGATGAACTCTACAAAGGAACCCAATCACTCGGCAGAGTGATTCAGACACGAAAAATATCAAAGAACTGAAATCTGAATGACTCTACTAAGTGCTATGACTGACAAGTGACCTGCAACTTGTGACAACATTCTATTATGTTGTGCACCTTCTCTAACAAATCTTTTTGCCACCAAAGGAAGTGTAACTGAAAGTGCTCTGTGTGAAAATAAAAACAATAAAAAGTTAATCAGAATACTAAAAATAATAAATAAATAATTAAAAGGGAAAGAAAAGAAAGAACTTGGGTCGCCTACCAAGAAGCGTCTGTGGTTAACGTCGTTGGCCCGATGCCCTACTGCTTTCTGAATTTATGGGGGCCTTGAACATGAACCAGCCATATTTAGAGCACCTTTTCTTCTTGCACCGATGTTGAGGAACATAACAAGCTGTATACTTCATGGTAGCCTCCATAAGGGAACTATTGTATCATTCTGGACCAGGCTTCAACTTTCGAACATTTGGATGTTTCTTGGATTGCTCCAACTTAACACCCCAACTATGGTCTTCATGTCTTTTATTTGGGGATGGGGCTGATATTGTTTCTAGAGGTATACATGTACGAACCTATTTAGCACTTCCATTATTCAGCTCTAGTTGCCCTTGGACTTAACGATTCATTGGCCATTCAAAAGTTTCGTTGAAAAGTCAGCAACTTCTCACTTTATGCTTCCTCCACTTTCTCCACATTTTCAGAGAAGGAAATATCTTGCAACAAGGGATCCTTGATTTTTGGACGTGCAGCAATGTTAACCTTATCTCCCTCGGCCATCTCAATGCTAAAACAAGAATCATGTTCAACCTGATGCTCCTTATCCTTGAAGATATTAAAAGTGACTTATTTACCATCAAAACTTAATGTTACTTCACCCTTTCTATCTTCAATGAGATCATCACATGTAGCCAAGAACGGACAGCCAAGAATAATAGGAACATTATCATCTTCATCCATGTCGAAAACCGAAAAATCAGCTGGATAAACAAAAGGTCTCACC